GGGGAATGGCTTTAAACTAAAGGGGGTAGATTTAGACTAGATATAAGGAAGAAATTTTTTTATGCTGAGGGTGGTGAAGCACTGGCACAGGTTGCCCTGAGAGGTGGTGGCTGCCCCATCCCTGGAAACATTCAAGGCCAGGTTGGACGGGGCTCTGAGCAACCTGATCTAGTTGAAGATGTCCCTGCCCATGGCAGGGGGGTTGGACTAGATGATCTTTAGAGGTCCCTTCCAACCCAAACTATTCTATGATGATTCAATGAAAAATCATAAAGAAGAGAAGAAATTGCACTTGAAATGCAGAGGAAAGGAAGAGATTTGTCACTGTATTTTTAACATTTTTACTTCCCTTTCATGATCTTTCAATGACCATGTAATGACCATGTTCATTGTAAGATCTTGTTTTCTGATATTTGAGAATAACTTTCATTATGACATCTACTATTGTACTGGAGTTCTTTGTGGTATGGCCTTAGATGCCAAACCTGTGAATCCTGTGCAGAATTTCTTTGTAAGAGTGAATTAGAGAAAAAAATGTGCAAGTTATTGATATACTACCTGCAGGAAATACATAAAAAGTTTATATATCATCTGTTATTTTGAAGTCAGTCAGCACAATTTGCTAAATAGAACTTAAACTAGCTGGGTTTCAGAGTCCTTTAATTCTGCAAACTTTTCAGTTTGGCTCAGTGTACTGTCATGGTTTCAGCTGGAATTTAATAGTTCTGTGAGAATACAAGTTTGCCATGATGTCTGAACTTGTAAAATATTATGGTACATTTTTGTATGTAGATTTTAGTTGTGATTTTTATGTCTTTTACTTTCTTTGCAGATGAAAGTGGATGGAAAAAATCTTCTCAGTGTTTGCAAGCTTGCATTTAAAATTTGCAGGAATGAAAAAAATGATTACATCATTCAAAATGATAGATTATTGGGTATGTATTTTGTTCTTGTATGTAAGTTAGATGTTGAAATTCAATAGTTAGACTGATCATCTTTCAAGAAAAATTATCAGAGCTAACTTAGTCACGCACTAAAAATTGCCTACTAGGTCAAAATAACGGTCCATCTAGTCCAGTATTCTGTGTCTAATGATGGCAATAGGGGATGCTATTTAGGGAAAGCATGGAAGCCCGTGTGTTTTCTGTGATCCATTTCCCCTGTACTACCCCAGGATCCAGAATTGTTACATTCTATTAGGGACATTAGATGGTGCATCCCTGCCTAATCCTTTTTAGTCTCTGTTTATAGATCTTTTGTTCATTAATTTGCCTAATTCCTTCTTGAACTTTCTGATTCTGTCTGCCTCTACAATCTCATAGAGCAACAAGTTCCAGAAGTTCTCTGTCTGCTGTTTTAAACCTATCTACTTTCATTATGCCACTGCTTGTAGTTTTGCAGGATTTGTAAGAGTTTCTACAGTCAGCTTACCCTCCACCTTCATGTTTTTTTAAACCACAGTCATATCACATATCTCTGCCTTCTTCTCTTCAGACTGAGGCATCTCAGCCTTTGAGCTCTCTCTTTGAAAGGATATTGTGTCATTCTCTCAGTTGTTTTAGTATTCCTTATTGTGTCATTCTCTCAGTTGTTTTAGTAGCCCTTCTCTGTACCTTCTCCAAGTCCAGGAGATCCTTCTTGAGATGTACAGAACAAAACTGTCTATAGAAGTCAAGATGTGTCTGCACCAAATTTTATAGAAGCAAAATAATGCTGTCTGTGTTGTTGGCCATCATCAGGAAGGATATTGAGAACCATCATTGGCTTTTTTAGAGGCTGCTGCACATTGAGCAAATGGTTTTGGAGAATTATCAGCAGTGGCTCTAAGATCTCTTCTGTGGTTGTAACTATATTTGTGTCATCCACGCACACCTTGCAAATATGAGAAATACGAAGAAAATGACAGTGTATGAATGATACTCAGTATCGACTGATGGTCATTCCTTTCATTAAAACTTCATTATGTTTTATTAACGGAGGCCTTAACCTTGCAAGCATTTATTGCATGTGCATAAGTTAAAGCACGTGCGTATATCTGCTTAAATAGATGAGAGTATTCATGGTCTTAAAGTTTAGTATGTGAATGTTGTCAGAAATAAAGACCAGATAAGCCTTTCCAGTAGTAAGATCAACAGGAAAGGACTCAGAGAAAAGAGAACAGCTCAGATTGCTCAACTGACTTTGGATACTGAAAACTACCGTTTTGCAGAGATTAGCATCATACAAAAATCTGGACAAGTTGAGTGGCTATGTCTGTGTAAGCATTGGTTTTTTTGCTCTCATTTCCATCTCCACTCACTTTTCTTTCACTTGCTCTTCTTTCCCTGTATTTTAAAAACTAGTAAAGGAAAGAATGTTTTTGGTAGGATTTTGTTTGTTTGTTTATTCACTCTTTATGTTTTGGACCCACCTCATCCAGGCCGAAGACATGAACCTGGGTTATCATCATAATCACCCAGATTTCTGTTGCAGTCACTGGGCTATAGATTCAATTTCTTTTTCTTCCTCTGGCCCTGTGAACTATTTATGTGCAGCAGCTCCAGTAGAAGAAACAAATTAACTGTTCATCCCAAAATAGACAACTTCTGTTCAAGACCCTGTTTGATGCTGAGCAGAGCAGGAACCTGAAGCTGATTTCTCACATTGCCACAACCCAAGTGGTTTAGCTGACCACTTGGCAGTTGGTGAGGGTGAGAGTTTGGGCAAGAGCCTGGAGTATGTGTACTTCATCCATATACATCCATATACTTGGAGAGAGTTTCAACTTGAGTTGAGACAGAAAAAACTTTAGAAATCTCTTAAGTTTAATGAGATGGGAAAATGCTTTTATTCAACTAGATGGCACACAGGAAGCAGAAGTAAATACCAGTTTCAATCAGTTACTAGAAATTCGAAAGTATAAAATTGGTTAGGGTTACTTATTTATTTAAGATACACTCACCAAATTCAGAATGTCTCGATTTGTCTGTGAAAGGTACATTGGGTTTGTGCTAACAACTGTTAATTTTAACATTTCAGATATCTGACAGTAGTAGCATAAAGCAAAACTTTTACAGTAACTTCACCTACATAAAAAGTAAATCTAAAAAGGCTATGAACAGACTTCAAATGTGAGATTTGAATTAGGCACCTTGCTTTTTAGTGCTCCATTTGAGATGCTTTAAGACATTTGATTTTTAAGGAAGTAGTGGGAATAAACCTCTCCAGAATGTCTCAAGTTTAGTACACAAAATTCCAGGCACACACAATCACTTTTGCAAATCTTGGCTGAGGATTTCAATGATTACTGCTATGTGTTTACAACTGGTGCTGGTTCTTGAAGCCTGGGAGAACAAAAGTCAGGCCCATTCTCTTATTCATCAATAATTGTTTCTTGGTTTCAATCTGAATACCCGATTTTTCTAGCCCACTTATTAGAAATGTAAGAGTTCAATCTGAGGGTTTTTTCCCAATTGTTAATCTCTTCAATGACTGGAATGTATCAAATATAAATGTTAATATTAGGCTTTCTGAATAATGATTTTCCTTTTAGATTGTTTGTTGGAGGTCCTGAGAACTGAAGATCTACAAAAAAGCAATGAAGCTCTCCTGTATTGCATGGGAGCTATAAAATTCATGTCTGGAAATGCAGTACTCCTTAATGAAATGGTCAACAAAGGAGCTGTTGAAATGTTGCTGCAATTAATGAAGCAGATTAATAATATAAAAGAAAATGACACATATTTCTCCAACTTGGGCCACCTGTTAGTCCAGGTTAGCATTTACTTTTATTTCTAAAAGTACACACTTCAAGGGCAAATTAAAAATTTAATTAGTGGAGATAAGCTAACCCTGTGTGCCACTGACAGAGTTGTACCTATATTTGAATAGACTTGTTTTTAAGAAGTTTACATGAAGTTGTTCAGGACCTAAATTTAATTATCATAGATTTTTTTGTGTAGTCAATTTTAAAGGCTTTAGAAATTCTGAAGTTAATAGAAATATTTTTAGGTACCTAATAAAACCAGTTTCTTCTTACTACTTTATGGTGCTGACAATGTTCTGGATATTATAGTAAACAGATAATAAATGTGTTCCCTGTCTAAATTCTTTAAACTGAAATAACAAATACAAACCGGTTCTGCAATACTCTAGGAGATTACAAAAAGCTTTTTATTACAAGAATAATGCATTTTAAAAAATGCATAGGAAAATATAGCTACATTTCTTTGACAAAGTGTTTCTGAAGAACTGTAATTTAAGGAAAAGGTAGTTGTAAAACCCAACACTTTTTGAATCTTTCTGAAGGCAGCAGGCTCAAAACTATCTTTTCACATATGAGGTACCTTGTTGAGTAGATTACAAAAAGCTTTTTATTACAAGAATAATGCATTTTAAAAAATGCATAGGAAAATATAGCTACATTTCTTTGACAAAGTGTTTCTGAAGAACTGTAATTTAAGGAAAAGGTAGTTGTAAAACCCAACACTTTTTGAATCTTTCTGAAGGCAGCAGGCTCAAAACTATCTTTTCACATATGAGGTACCTTGTTGAGTGGTGGCTATGGAAAATACTTTGCCGCCCTAAAGCTTTTTAAACCTTAGTGTTTTAGAAAAAAAAGGTTATGTAGCTAAATCTTAAGTTATGCATAGGTTGTGGGGTTTTTTTATTTGTCAAGGATTTGGCAGGTAGATTCCTGGCATTTGTCTTGGAAATTATTGATGTAAAGATTAGTGAATGGTGTAATTGTAAGCTTTTGGGGACTGCATAGGAAAAAATATTGGGCAATTTTCTGAGGTAGTGTTTACACTAAATTTCTCTACTAATTATGCCAGATTTCTTTAATTCTCTACTAACTTACAAACAAGGGATTTTATACTACTTGAAATTATATGAGAAAACAGATAGCTTACATCATCACGTTACTATTACTGATTTTTGTCTGTTTATTTTAGTGGAGCTATGAGCTATGTCTCTCCAGAATAGTGTGTATAATCTTAATACAAACATAAACAGATTGGGAGATGCTACGAAGCACTGAATGAAATGATGTGGCTTAATACGTACGTTTGGCTAAGGAAGTCCCAAAGTGGCAAACTGGTAAAGACTGGGAGAATATATGATGAAACTGGAAATTTTGTGCTTGTCGTGTTCCTATTTTCTTTCCTATCTGGTCTTGTCAGCGTTAAGTTCCTATATGAATCACAAAATTCTCTCTTACACACTTCTGTCTTGAGAATTGGGAACGTTAACTTTCTTGTGGCATTGTGAATTCTCCAAACAATTCTAAAATCATCTGTGCCATTTTGTTGATATCACACTGTATATTCTATACAAAAATGGTATATGGGATTTCCAGGCCTTCTTTTTCAAGAGAAGGTGTACAAACTTCAGGTCTGCATGTAATCAAGATTTTAATGACCATATTTTTCTTGAATGCTTCTAGTTAGACTTTGTAAGTCCCAATACTACTGCAGTGCTGCCTTAGGCTATCAGTTTAGTTAGAAACCCCCTTTTGAAAAGTACTGAGGAGGGATTGGGGGTCCAGAATGGATTCTGTTCTCAGTGTAGTTTGCAAGGTGATAGACAGTGACTTGAAACACCTAAACTGTAAGAAAAGTAAGCTTAGATGAAGAAGTAGAGTATGATGCCTCACATACGGAAGCTGTGCAGTCATTTCAGTGAGTGGAAGTTTAGGCTGTAGTTTTGGTAGGCATTTTAAAACCTGAATTAGAGATATGTATCCTGTGTCACTTTTCATGTCTATGTAGTTCAAAAATACTTATCCTTCTGAGAGCAGGAAGGGGATGGTTAAAAGCAAAGCATATTACTTACTGACGTTTGCTGGCTGCTGTTGGCATTAATCATATAATACATATAATGGGAATCCTGTTGAGCAGAAAGAGATGGAAATTTATGTTAAATAGATATAAAAAGAAGTTTTTGCCAGTTGGGGCATTTAAAAATAACAGATGATGTCCAAGTAATAAAACTAATGAATTGTATAATTTTCAGCTGTTTGACTAGCTGTCTGAACTTCCCCACAACTTTGCAGAAATATTTTTTCTTCCATTATTTGTATGTGGCTAAATTTAGGTTTTTAAATCAAAGGTTTAATTTGCAAATGTTTAAAAGGAAAATGTTACATTTTACACCTTTTTTGTGGGTCATTATTCTCTCTGCTGTTTTTAGTATGATTGGAAGTGTATCAAAACTATTTTGTACAGTTTGAATAGACTGGCTGTTCCTAAGGAGGCCACAAGTATTTTGTGGAAAAGTCAATACTGACAACTGTCTCTTATTGAGGTTGCTGTTTCACTTGTTTGTATTCTCTTCTATAGTAGTACAGATACTTCATTTTTCTTCCTCTTGTGAGAAAAGTAGCAATTCCTGCTGCTATGGAATTCCTGTGCAACTTTCTCATACTGGTTTCTTCAACAAATCTACATTAATGTGCACCATTTCTTCCATATGAGTTAATTGTTCAGTCATCATAGGCAGATGTAGGAATAGTTCTGTTTTCAGGGATGTAGTATCAAAGAAAGTTTCTTCTGTGATTCATGTCTTCAGAATAAAGGAAGTTTTTGTGGCATACTTCAACTTGTAGCAAAAGATCAAATACCCAGTGACATACAGAATTAATGAATAAATACAAGTCTTGAGGAATAGACAGCAAATTATACTGGAGGAGAAAAACACCTTAAATAGTCACAGTGGTCTCTGAGGGAGGCTCTGCCATCTCTTAACCCTGATAACTGAAGTATCTCAGTTAACTGGGACCATCTCTTCATTCTTTAACCGTATAATTGCACAATCACCAGATGGCAGTGTTATACGTAATCTTGCCAGGTCCTTTTTATGGGAATAAAGTCCCTCTCTGGTTTCTTCATTGTTACACAATGGATTTTATGCAGATGTCCCATAAGACAAGAATAAAAATGTTTGTAATAATAATTATTTTTCCTTAATAGAGGACATGAAATCAAGGTCATCTTTGACTTATTTTATGTTGCTTCACCTAATAGCCTGATTATACGAAATATAGTAATGCTTATTCAAAAGCCAAGGCTTTTGAAGTGTCACTGGCAAGACTTAACAAGTACTCCATGCTCCTTAATTGAAAAGCACTTAAATGTCTTCTCCTTTAAAAATAGAACTTGTCTGCTGTTAAATTTTCTGTTTGGGTGAATTTGATCTTTCACATGGCAACATAAGAATTAGGGCTGGTGGGGATTGCTAGAGCCAATTGTTACGCATTTCTCCCTGAATCACGGTGTCTGCTTGAAGCAATCAGACTATCTCTTGAATTCATCTGCTCTCTGGCTAGCTTCTATTATTTTTTCATTTGTACTCTTCAAATTTCACTTGCGTACTAACTGTTCTTTTGTGGGTGTATACTGGTATGAACTTCTGAATTTCATTGTCTCGCACATTTAAGTGTATACATTATTTTGCATTGCTTTTCCTTTCCAACCTGTCTCTGTGTGAGGATGCCTCTTGACCGAATTTACTGCTGGAGGATTTTGAACCATCTAACTGTCTCAGGCAGTGAAAAATTTTACTCTCTTTTTGGAGACCTCTGCACCATTATCTATTGATAAAGATTTTATTTTTTTCATCATCTAATATGTAAGTCTCTTTGCTGCAGTGAAAGCCCTGGTCTAGGTTTGAACAACACTTTAAATAATGTGGTTTATCCTTCATTTTCTTTATTGTGAAGTTTAGCTAGAGCTCAACAAATATCATCCTAGGCTGACTGTGGACATCTTGTATGTGAGCACTGAATGGAGTCTTCTGTGTCTATTCCATTTGGCAGGGATTTTTCTACCAAAACTTTTGAATAGCAAAGTATTTGATTATTATATTTTTATTTTAAAATATTTCTCCAGTATTGTGTTGATTTTTGAAGCATCATGACTTGTGAAAGGATGCATATCTGGAAATGTATTTTTTGCAGTTGTTTAGTTAAAATAACAAAAAAACTCCAAGTGTCTTCTTAAAATATGAGCAAATGGCTTCCATAGGTTCAGTTTCTGTTTACTCTGAATATAGTATACATTTCATATTTAGTGCTGAAGTTAAATCCATTCACATATCACATTCACATTAGCACATAATTTTTTTCCCTCTGTACCTTGCTTCTCCATTTTGACACATTGTTCCTTCTCCTATTGTTCCATTACAGAACATCGTGTGGTGACTGAAGATGTACGCTTTTGTCAAATTTGTTGAAGTAGGCAAGCAAATTTGAAAGCTGCTGGAGAATGGACAGAGTAGCGCATAGAATCCTATGAGCAAAAGCTCCTCAAACACAACAACTAACCTGCTCTTTGTCAGATTTTTCCTTTAAAACTAGCAATTACATATCACTGGACAAGCAGTCCAATTCAGTGATGAAATACTTAATTTCTAGGGTTTTTTGTGATTACAAACAATTTGAACAGATAGTCTTTGTGCCTTATCAAACTACATTTAAAACCAAATTGAAGTTAAATACCTTACTCTTAGAATAAGGAAAATCTGAAGAATTCCCATATTCACATTAGATTAAATGACTTCACGTTAATTTTATAGTAAGTTCTGGTTTGGATCAACAGTTAACTTACATGTCATTGCCTGTCTGACCTTGGCATTTGAATACCCTTACCTTGGAAGAAAACCAGAACATTTCAAAATATGCAACAGCTGATTCATTTTGCCTATCTACAAGTGATAGATATTTTATGCTTAAAACTCCTTGAAATAGAAGAGTATCTTCTGAAAATATTTTGCTTTCTCCAAAAAAAACTTGAGGACTTAAGCTTTTCATTTTTATACTGTTCAAATAGTGGATTTCTCTTGATCTTGATTAACTTTTAAAATTTTTAATCAAAATAAATTTTATTGTATTTTAAAATAAATTCATCTTAGTTTGCAACTTGTAGTTATTATCAAAATATGTATTATATATCAGTATTAATTTGCAGGACTTAAATGTAAATTTGCAAAATCAGACATTATGCAAAAAATCCCTTTAACTATCCACAGCATTTCACCTAATTTCCAATTGGTATATAGTTGTATACATGCATACAAGATTTTAAAACATATGAAATATCATGTTTCTCTCAAAGAAGGAGGTTACATGCAGGCAAAGACCACTGTCAGTCTTTTATTTTCAAACAATTATTTCAATATACACAATTGTGTTACTTACACGTTTCCTGTTATAATTTATTGGTAGATACATACCTGCAGAATGTTAACAGGGCATTCAGACTGCCTTAGACGTTATAAATGAGGTCTGAGCTTTATTAAATTTTCAAAACAGCGTGGATTCTGTTGTAAACGGCTGTGATTAATAAATCTTTAAATATTCTATATGCAGCTGACAGCTACTTTGCGAAACTTGGCTGACTTACCTCCGGCAAGACGCCAACTCATTTGCAATGGTGCAGTCTCTGAGCTCTGTGTGGCGCTAGAGCAGCGTATGAATGCTAAGGATGTATGCACCTATATTGTCAGGATATTCAGGTATGTATAGAACACAGTGCTATTTCTGCATGCAGTCAAGTCAGTGCTACTGCTTCAAGTGACCCCAAAGAGGGCAGAATCAAGCACTGAAATTGGATGATTTACATTGAATTGTTTTTTTAAAAGCTCTGTGTAGTTTTTAATTATTTTGTACGATAATTGTGTCTTTATTAATGTTGATAGAATGGTTTCATTGTAGCCATACAAACTTGGATTCATTGTCCCTGTGAAAAATGTTTTGTTGTATTGTGTCATTCTTTGATCCCATAGATTCTGATTGAGATTTTTAAAGTACCGTTTCTTATATTTTACAGCTGCATAAATTATTAAGTATTTATTAATCCTATTTTAGGCCATGTTGTAAAAAAATGAATGAGAGAAATTACACAAGCTTAAGTTATATCGGGGACTGCGTATTGTGAAATAAAATACAAAAGAGAGAAAACGTGATCAGTGTTCGTTGTTTTGAGCTGTCACAGAGCGTTTGAGGAGATTAATCTGTGGAATCAGGGCTTGAGTGTGCAGACGGAAGCGCTGAAAGAATCTCAACTTTATGAGCACCTCAGTGGCTGCTTACCAAGATGTGCTTTTTAGAGGGAGATCAGTATGAGTGAATCACCCAAAAAGGTCCTTTTGTAGTCTGAATAGTTTCTCAGTCAAAAATCTTCCAGTTACCAAGCACCAGCTTGCAATATCCAATGCTAAATGGACTTGCAAACAATTTAAGGATTTTGAAGAAGTTGTGAAATTAACTGTTGGTAATTTCAGGAGCAGTTGAGTTATAAGTACAATTTATGAATGCTGTTCTGGATGAAGTATTTGCCGTTGCTGCTTTGTTATTGTATTGAGTCATGTTGCCTGTGGCTCCATGTTCATTGAGGTTCTGCTATGGACTTCTCTTCCTGTTCAGCCCCTCCAAATTATCCATCACGCTCTCCTTACTAGATGAGATGAGGTTGTGCTTTGAAGAGCAGCTACGTAAGGGACTATCATTCCTTCCTCTCCACAGCTAAAAACAGGCAAATCTGGTCCTTTGCTGTTTGTGCTACCCGTGAAGCAAGTGAATTGCTTCCCCAATTCCATGCCACCTTGTCCACATCTGTCTCTCTAATTTTGTTCCTAAAAATGGGTTGAGTTCTAGCAATGATTACAGCACTTTGAGCATATTTACTTCTTCTAAGGAGAGAGCATTTCTTTTACTTGGAAAATGCCATGAAAAGTGGGGTAATGGGTTTGTAATTAAATGTAATCGATACTTACCCTGTAATTCTGACAAGGACATTTACTTGATCTAGAATTCAATATGGAGCAAAAGTAATTTGTCTTATTTAAAATTTCCTACTGCTTCAATTTTTTTTCTTAAGTTTAGTGAACTGCATGCTTCAAGGATACAAATTAGCCATAAAATCAATTTAATTAGCTTCCTGGAAATAGCAGTCATGGAAAAAAAAAATTATACTATGCAGCACAGAGCACAGATTTGAATTTTGTTTTGTCTTCTAGTAATACAGAATGATTATTCTTTTCTCTCAGTCAGTAACTTTAGGCAGCTTCTTTGTAGAGAATATGTTCAATCTATTCAGATTATTCATTTCTCTAAGTCTGTAAGTCTTGCTGTAATTGGTTGTAATTGAACATCAACACAGATATTTGCTGGTTTTGACATGGGAAGTAAGAGATTATCCTAGTTTGTTCTCTTATTGCAGTGTTTCTCGTATGACCAAAGCATGTCCAATTCTCTATTTTTGTAATGGTCAAGGTGAGCAGTGTAGGACCAGAGCAGCTGTTAGGGAATACGCAGAGATAAAATTGTGACTGCAAGAAGGCGCGTTCTCCATATTTGCTGGTGAGAGATGTGTTCTGTTAGTGCTGTCGCTGGGCTCTACTAGACGTGCATTAGGAAGGGTCCCTTTATTTCCTCTCCTGTCTGACTTCCCATGTCATCTTGAAATTACAGTTCTCCCATTGAACGCTAAGAAGTGCTGGTGTTAGCATACTGTGCCCATATGGCAAGCAGGTTGGGAAGCTCCTCATGTTCGCTTCTTCCCGTAATTCACTGTGGCGAGGATAGCTAGACTTCTGTTGTGCTCTTATGTAACTGCGTGTGCCTCTACTAGAAGTCAGAGTATTGGCATTCATTTCATTTGTTGGAAAATACAGCTCTGAGAGTCAAAAGCAGAGTGGGTTTTAAAAAAATCTTTTGTGGAAAAAAGTGCTTTCATTCATTTATATTTTATTTTTGTACCTTTGTAGCAAACTTTCTTCCTACAATGACTTCTGTGCAGCTTTGGCAGACTGCTCCAGATGTTACAACTTATTTTTAGCCCTACTAAACAAACACCAGAAGCAGCAGGTCAGTTTTTTCATCTCTTGATTTTTATATATTAATCCTCTGATGTGTCTGTGTATTATTGTGTATAAGCTTGTTTTCAGTGACCTACTTTTACGCATTTACCAAATAAAAATTTCAAATGATTGACAGCATTTCTAAGTAGTAAATAATTGAACTGAGATAATTTAGATTAAAAATTCAAAGCAATACAGAGGACAGATAGTTGATTAACTTGTCTATCCTTTGCATGTGTAGAAACAGTCCTTTGAGTACCTAATTATTTTTCTTGGTTTTAAAAAATACTTCTTAAAGCAAATAGTTTATTTGAATATTTAATAGTAGGAAATTGTTGGGATTTCTCCTGCCCTCCTCCCCTGCAAAAGAAGCGTGAATTTTCTGGAGTTAAGCAATTTGAAAGCAGAGGAAAATTTGTTCCTTGATAACTGCATAAGGTATCAGAACGTATCTCTCCTCTACCAGAGAAAACCATGTGCCTAGAATACTGCATTTGGAACGTTCACCTAGAAATAAACGTTTAGAGTTTGTCAAAATGCCTCGTATTATGAAGTAAAATTGTAAGAGTATACTTGCTACCAACTTCATTAGAACTTCGAGGGTCAGGTGTTGCTGTATTGTCCTGCTATATCATAGTGATCTTTCCTACGTTTACTGGAGCACTAGGAGTTTGGTGCAGGACCACAGTTTTAAAGATTGTCATGTTGGTAAGAGAGGAGTGCCCCGTGTATGGCAAATTACTGAGCAATATTGCCAGGTAAGCTTTAAGAAGAAAATAATTTTTATGTAAAGCATAGATGTTCAAAGGTGGAACAAGGTTTCAAAACATAGAACATTAAATCACATTAAGATTACTCTTAAAAGTAAGGAACTTTCTTGGCTGCTCAAGTATCTAAACTAGTTTGAGGACATTTAGTTATCCTATGCAATTTATCCCAGGGTTAGTAATTCCTGGAGAATTGTTGGAACGAGGTCTTTTGTGCTGCTGCTGTTAAAGGCAGTTAATGAAGGTAACCAGATCAGCTACACTGAACAATCTATTCTTTCTCTTGCCAAATACAAAAATAATTTCTCCCTTTCCTGTTTACCTGCATCCCTGTTTTCTGTGATCGTACACATGGAAGAGGAGCAAAGATTAAGTTGTTTCTATTCTTCTAAATGTCTGTTGATTAACATTTCTGTAGCATTTCTAGGTTTGGGCTGCTCTTGCATTGTATAGTCTTCAAAGATGCTTTAGTAAACCGCTATGTAAACGCTATGTAAATAATTTGAGAAATATCAAAGGCATGATATTTTACTAGATTTATAGTTATTTTTCCTTGTGAGCACTATTAAGTGCTATTTCATATGTGAGCACTGAGTATTAAAAACTCAACAAATGATGGGACTGGGAATAAGGAGCTTAAATTGAGTAACATCTTCCTCTCGATCTTCATCTCTAATTTTAAGGGGAACTTTTGTAGGCCCCTGAGATAATAGCTTTGTGTCATAATGAATTGTAGGCTCATATATAAATTCAAATTGTTTGTTGTCAGGTAGTGTTCAGAATTTAGCTTTTCATTTGTCTACTTTATTAAGTGGTCCTAAAATACATCTTCCTTCACTAGATTAGCATTGCTTTTTGTGTTAAACTGTCAGTTGTTTTATCAAAATATAAATTAGTAAAGAAATAGCTTGTGTATTAAAAATCTTAGTTATTATGTTGTGATGATTATATATACAGTGTCTTCAGAATAATTATTTCTTACTGCAGTTTTTAAACAAGCATGCAATTGTCAGTTGTCAGCTTAGTGCAGCCCTGCAGAAACAAGAGGGACGTAGATAATGTAATGCACCACTTTTTCTGTGCATATAATAAACACTTGAGCTGTGAGGAGTGCAAATGTTTTTCCTGAGGTGTAGTTGGCACTGCTAATCTTTCTTTTAAAACGCTGACAGCTAGTGAGTTATAGCGTGAGTAGGTATGTGTTGAAAAGAAAACAAGTAACAGCAGTGTGAGTAAAATTGTCTGCTGTGGGAAGAAACAAAGAGGAGGATAAATCAGTATTATTAACTCAAAACATTAAAAATCCTCAGGTCTAAGAACTGATATGTTAAGAAAGGAAGTGTATGTGTGTTTTCTGAATTTTCACGTTGCAAAGTTCGTGGGATCAGGTTTTTTTACTGGCAGTCATGGCAGCTAGAAACATAAAAGAAGACCAGAAAAATGAAAGAAAACCAGCATTCAGACTTTCTCAAGTGCTTTCATAACTGTGACTTTAAAAATAAGCATTAAATATTGTGAAAATAAAAATGTGAGCACTGGAAATAGGATTAATGACTTGCTCCCACACCACACACTGAATTCCACAGCTGCCACCCAAATAGTCTCTGTTCTTCTCACCACACTGCAGTTTCATCTCTCTCCTTTTTTTTTTCTCAGCTCGTTTTCTCTCTTGGGTAAAAGAGTCAGAAGGAATGGGAGAGTAGTAATTTAACTCTGTGAGAAAGACTTTTGGGGAAATTGAGTTGGCAAGACTTGCTAAATTCTATGTATCATAGTCTTAGGTAAGGAGAGGAGTACGGAAGATTGGAAATGCTGGATCTGCAAGGTAGGGCTGGGGAATTCAGCAGTGCCTTTCTACGCATTTGAAGTACATGTTCTGTTGGACTTCGCTTGTGGTTGGTTTTGGAGCTTACTTGTGTGGAGTAACAGAAAAATCCTTGGTGGCTGCCACATGCCGTGAAGGCTGTCAGAAGTAGAGCCTCTATCTTGCAGGATGAGCTTTGCATGCTTCTGTTTCTAGTCAGCATTGTAGACTTTTGCCCATCTCCAGAAATCTTTGAACAAGATGCTGTTTCCCTTTCCCAGATCATTATCATCTCGAAGCTTTTCAGATAAGCTGTATAAAGAATGACTTTCTCAGTCTGTGGTTAATGTCGTAAGTCACGAGAAGGCCATGCTTTTGGAACAGGGAGATTGCCTAAATAGGGCAGTAGTTTCTGTCAGTAAGTCAGGCACTACCTGTGAGCTTAGGTGGCCTTTTGGGCCCTGCCAGCTTCCGTGTAATCTTTTACCAGTGTACAGTTAGGAGTCTATTTTCAATCCTAAGTGCACAAACACAGGGTGTGATACTAAAATTTGCATAGAAGAAATCTTGTGCCTGTTGTATATAAAAGTCCCTTTATACTTTAGTGTAGCCTACTTTTTTAATTAGGAAACTTTTGTTAAGTATCTGACATCACTGGATGCAGCAATTGCCTATTCAGCAAAAGAATAATCACACTGGGTCACATGAAAGGTTCATCCAGCCTAGTATCCATACTTGGCAGTGGTGAAAATCAGATGCCTGTGTAAACTTACCAAATCTCTGCCTCTTTCCAGTTTGGAAACTTCCTCAGCCAGCTGTGGTTCTCTGTGTATGAAATAAACCTCAGTTGACTTCTTTTCCATGGAATTCTACAGTCTCCCCTCTACCCCATATAAACTTCTAACATGTTAAACATCCATTGGCAAGGAGTTGCCATAGCAACTACCCATTGCACAGATAATTCCTTTTGCTTGTTTTGAATTTGGCCTTTACTATCTTTATTTGATACCCTCTGGTTCTTGTATTGAAAAGTTGGTGAATATTTAATCCTGTCATTCATTTCACACCACTTTCTAGACCTTTATCATATCCTCTTCGAGCTACCTCTTTTCCAGGCTGAAGAGTCCTTGCTTACTTAGTCCTTTCTGATATAGAGGCTATTCCATACCATTGTGCATCCATGTTGCTTTTCTCAGAACTTTTTACAATCCCGGTTCCTGTATCTTTTTTTTGAGATGAGGAAGCCAGAACATGGCAGTTAAGATGTGGCCCTATCATCGATTTGCATGCCTGCGTAAGTTTATTTCCCAGTAATTCCCAGTATTTTATTTGCTTTCTTGACCTCCTGTGAGCATTAAAGCCCCATGAGGAATCTGTCATTAACCCCAAGATTGCTCTTCAGGTGGTTATGGTTGGTTCAAAGGCTATAATTTTATACATGAAGGTATGTCTGCTCTGTGTTTTTCCACACGCATCATTTTATGTTTATCTGCATTTAAATTTCATCTGCTATTTTATTACCAGTTGACTACAAATCCTTTTTCTGCTCTTCAGTCAGCCTTCATCTTTGCTACTTTGAATATCTTAGTGTCATCAGCAAACTCTCCCATATCACTGCTGTCACCCACTTTTCCATGTTGTTTATGGACAAGTTGAACACAACAGGTCCCAGCACAGAACCCTGTGGAATTCCGCTGGTCATCTTCCACCATTGCAGGAACTGCTAATTTACTCTGTTTTCCATCCTCTAATCATTTATCTATACCAGGACATTCTCCCTTACAGCATGACTGCTTAGTTTCACTAGGATTTTGGTGAGTGACTTTGTCAAAAGTCTCCTGGAAAGCCACATGGGTGGTATCAGATGGGTCTTCTTTATGCATGTTTTTTGATCCCTTCAAAGAACTCAAGAATTGGGTAAGTCAGAACTTAGGAGTCTTAAAGCTGATTGCGTTTATCCGACTGTCCAGTAATTTCATTATTCTTTTTTATGGTCTCTTCTGATTTATCTAGTACAGACACCAGACTTGAATCTCATTTGGATCCTTTTCATGTTTGTTACCCTTCCAGTCCTTAGGCATCAAGGCAGTTTTGAGAAGTTGCACATCACTGTTAGTAATTAAGCTATTTAATTAATTACTTCTTCTAGAACTGTTGGGTGATTATCCAGTCCTGTTTGTTTTGTCAGTTTGTTCCTTAAAATTGTTTGTGATCACTTCAGTTTTGGACAGATCCTCTGATGAGTCTTCCCCAGAGAAGGCTGTAGCATTGAGATCCCCCCAGTTACTTTCACAGTGGGCATGAATCAATGCAAAGAACTCATTTAGCTTCTCTGCAATGACATTTTCTTCTCTGAATGCTCCTGTTTTATCCTGATCATCAATTAGTTCTGCAGATTCTGGCAAACTTCCTGGTCCTGATATGTTTGAGAAGACT